AATCAGTGGGTTGCAAACAGCAGTGCTGCCACACACAGACCTGCGGAGCACCCAGTATATGTAAGGGTTGACAATGCAGCAGAAGTCTCTGTGGTTTATCCGGCTGCTTATGGAATCCATTAGGAAGCTTGCAGTGCTAAAGTCACAGCTTCTAACTGGATTTATCATGCTACTGGGGCATTGGGAAAGTCATGACACATTTTTGCATGAGAAAACATTTCAAAAAGTCATGAATATCCCAATAACTTAATATTAGATCTTTTGTCTTTCTAGCTACTGAGTCTAGCAATAATTTGGGAATGGTAAACAGGAGATTGTTTTAAGTCCTGCAAATCCCCAAATTAAACAATTACTAAGTAAAAGATAATAATGCTGTCACTAGAGATGGAAAAGACAAAAAGGATTTAATCCCTGCTCCGAAGAGGTTTACAACATACTAGAAGAAACAAACAGTAAATAAAATATAATGTGTTTTAAGAGAAGTATATAAAAATTTGTGAGTCCAGAAAATAACCTCTGACCAAAAGAAGGAAGGTATATGTGGATGTTGGAAGTGGGGGTGAAAAGTAAAAAAAAAAAAAAAAAAAAGTTTTACAAGAGATAAAATGTTTGGCCTACATTTTTGAAGAATGAATGGCATTTTTTTAAAGAATTATTTCATTTAACTTTATTTATTATTATTATTATCATTGTTATTTTCCAGTTTGATCAGAGAGAGACAGAGAGAGAGAGGAAGTGAGAAAGAAAGCCACCAGGTCCGAGACTTGAACCATGGTCAGCCATGTGGGAGTCCAACACCCTTAACCATTATGCCACTTGCCGGCCCCATGAATGGCATTTTTAAGCAAACTACAGAGGAAGAATATTTTAATTTTCATAGAAAAAGAACTTGAGATGTAAAGTAATAAAGACTATTACTAGAACTTAGGAGAAAATTAATGACGATAGGCGTGACCTTGGAACTAGAGAAGAGCTATAACTGAGGAGACTGATGTGCTCATGAGGAAATGATATACTGATTCTGAATTTGAAAGATGCGCAGCAGTCGATGTGTTTCCTGATTATGTGGCTGATGCTATATCAATAGCCACAAAATGAGAGAAAATGTAGGAAAAAGAAGGTTTTGGCTGTGGAGGGATAAAGGGAGACAACGAAGTGGATTTAGACAGTGTGATGTACTCAGTGTCTGGCAACTGTTTAGAAATGTGGCCTGTTACTCAGGAGAGAAGGCCTGGCCTTGCCCATTACAGGGGAGGAATGTCTTCCCACATAGCATAGCTGAAGTCTTGGACAGAAACATAATACAAGGGAAAGGCAAGTATGGAGGGGGCAGAAAATGAAAAAAACTAAGGGCAGAACTAGGTAAGTAACTACCTTTAGGGGAATGGGAGGAAGAGACATCTAGGAAGAGACTGTGTTATAGCACTGGCTTCAGAAAGCCTGTAGGGCTGGCCTAGGGGTGCAGTGTACACATGGAGCCAGATCCCACATAGCCGACCAGAGTTCAAATCCCAGCCCAGGTAGCTTTAAAAAATATGCCAGGTGTGTCTGTCTGAGTGTTCCATATCATGATGGGATGGAGAAATGGACAAAAGGGGACAGCAGTGTGACCACATCCCATCAGGGTGTGTTCTCTCTCTCTCTCTTTCTCATGAATGCACACACCCTCCAGCAGCTTAAAAAAATAAAAAAAGAGCAAAACATGTAAAGATACTTGTGGAAAAAGAGATTCAAGTGACAGGGTGGTTAATGGAAACTGTTGCAACAGGTTTAATAATCAGGGAACCAAGGTAATCCACAGAGGAATTTCAGGATAACAAACTGAGAAGAAGTCAGATTACAGAATTTACTAGAAGGAAAAAAAATGAGGCAGTAAGTATAGGCTCCCATTCATGAGTCCTTAGTTAGGCTGTGATAACTATGAAAGGTCAGGGAAGGCAAAAGACTCAAGGAACTGCTCTCCAGTGGCTCTAAAAATCAACGTCTCTGAATATTTAAGCAAAAATGCGTTTTAAAATCTGGAAAGGTAAGGTTGATAGCAGTCGATAGCAGGCTTGTAACGCACTCTTTGCCATTCAGGGAAGCTAGGACAATGGGTATTATCCAAGAGATCATCTTTTACTACAAAAAAATAAAAATTTCTTCACTTAGGAGGCATGACTGGATTGAATTAGTCACTGAACTGTGGTAATCTGTAAATGCTTTTTAATTCCCATAGTTACCAGAACATAAAATAGAGGGGCTCCTAAACTACAATGGCTTCCTCGCCATACAGTGCTTCTACATGCATTACTCAAACTCAGATGTTAGCCTGGGCCAAACCGTTTAACAAGGGAGAATAGGGAGGCCTGATAGTTTCCAATTCATCCAGGGAAACAATGCTGCTTCTTTATCCTTTTTTTTTTGGGGGGGGGGGGGCAGGGGGTAAATTATGGTGTTGAATATCCAGTCTGCTTTGACTACTTTACCCTTCATGTTTATACAAGACTTAATTTATTTGAACAGTCAGCATACATAAGCAAATGGTATTAAGTTGGCATAACAGCATATGCATATAAATGTTGATCAAAATGGATTAGAATCATCAAATCACTTAACCATAATAGTTCACAAGGCCATGGGAATAATGTTACTATATAGAGAATATGAAATCAAGTTTTCAAAAAATATTCTCTAGCATTTTATCTACCATGTATACATGAGGCATTACTACAATCAGTCAGAGAAATTAAGCATCCTGGACAATTCTGTAAGTCTACTTCCTTTTCTCAGCATGTCCTGCCTGGAGACTTCAGATGCATTCTCCAGAGAGAATGATGGCATTCTTGATACTGTTAATTTCTGCTTTGAGGCTGTCTATAGGCATGTATGCAAAGGGATATTATAGTTTATGCTCTACACTGATAAGCATCTACAACTTACTTGGTCAAAAGTCATCTCACTTCATGTTCTTCTTAGCAACCAAGTGACCTCAATAAATGAAGCATCACTGATAATATCAATCCTTGTGTCCATGATATTTTAGAGGATGTTTTTAAAAAATTATTATTACTCAATATACAGAGTGAACACAATAATCGCATTTCTTCTTCTATTAAAAATAATTACACTCATCTGGAGTTCAAAATAACCTGTGTATAATTATGGCTTGGTTATCTGAACTGTCTGTCCTAAGGGTACTAACTGAGAGATTACACTGACCCACGTACAGATTTGATAACTCTGAGGCTTCCGTGCCGTAAGGAAGGTTTTTCACCATAAGACCGGATTCACCATAAGGATGAACAGTCCCATACAACAGCCAGGGCTGCAGGATGCTGTTGAGTTTTGGAATGTGGCTTCTCCAAACTGGAAGGTGCTGTAAGTACTAAGTATAATGCCTCTCACTTACTAGGATGAGGGAATGCAAAACATCTCACTACTGGTTTCGCATTAATGAGATGCCCAAATGAACATAGTTAACACACCGAATTGAAATATTATGTTTAGTTTTACCTTTTAAATACTGGCTATTAGAAAACTGAAAAGTATACATGTGGTTTGCATATTTCTTTCAGATATTGCTGATCTAGAAGATACTACAAATGTTAAGAGTGATGTTATCATCAAAAGATTCCACTGACTTGGGCAATTCTATTCTTGTTTTAATACTAACTAGAAACATATAACAATACAGTAAAAATTAGAAAATACAAAAATTTTTTCTGCTACCCTTAATTATTTTGGAAGGGTAATTTATGACAAGAGTATAATAATGAAACAATTTCAAGTGATTTTAGAAGTCTATGGTCATCTCAACTAAAATTTCTGTAACAAATGTAAAAGAATATAAAATGTAAATTAATTTTTCCTATTACAATTTTACGAATACAAAATTGAAAAGTAGATTTTTTTAACACTAAAAAATGAGTATGTATTATTCAACTCCAAAAATAAATATCTCACAAATTAATTAATATAATCAGGCTAGAAGACTGCTGGAGAAAAGCTTTAAGTCACTTCTGAAGAGGAAGAAGTGGGTTACATGAGTACAACTAAAATATTTTTTCTCAGAATTTATAAGGAGCTAGTTTGCAAATTTCTTCTAAATAACTTCAAATTAAAAAGCCATAAGAATTCTAAACAAGATTAACAATTATAACCAAGTTTTCAGAAATAGAAAGTCCTACAACAATGGAAAAATTAGATGCTTACAATTAGAAGCTAGTATAATACATAATCTTTGAATGCACGTGAGCTAAAGTGAGAATTAATTAATCAAATAAAAGTTTAAAGCAAAATTACAAGGGTGTGCGTGTGTGTCTACACACGTACATACACATTACATGGAACTTTGTAAGAAATCAGGAAATTTATTTATAATTGAGACACCATTTCTTTTGTTGTTGTCAAGACATAATCTAATGCAAAATATAGCCTATATCAAGAGTAGGTTGATTTAAAAATGAATACACAAGTATGAAGGAAGTATTCTATCTAAACAGGATTCCTACTTGAGATTGTTGCTAAACCTACAATGTTTATCAGTAAAACTAATGGGAAAACGATCCTCCCTCGAGAAAACTTGCTGAACTTTATAACATTATCAGCATACAGAAGGCTCCCTGAGTAGTGTATAAATAAAACAACTGATCAGAAACAAAAGGAGAAAAGCAGCAGCCAGAAGCAGTTACAAATTACATCACATCATTTGCAACAACACTCATAGAAATATGTGTATGTGTCCCCTTGGGCTTACCCACATACGCATATCTCTACTTAGACATATACGGTAAGGGTGGGGAAATGTAGATAGCAAAGTGAACATGAATGAATAAATCTGCGAGACTCACACGAAACAAAGTGAGTAAAAAAAAAAATCACTACTACAAATGATAAGAAATTAAGAAAGTCTTTATTTAATACCTTTCTCGTTCTGGTGAATGCAAACTAGTATCTGGTCTCAAGCAGTTGGTACTAGCACTCCTAGCCCTGTCAAGGGAGGGCTGCAGTTCACTAGTGCCAGTGCATTGCATCCAGTGGTAGAAGAGAAAGACAAAGAAAACAAAGAAAGGAAGACCATGTTAGAGAGTAAAAGCATAAAAATAATGTTCCCCTGTACGTACGATGTAGAATCACTGCGATTCAGTTCATAAGGGTGTGAGAGAGTTGACAGGATGACGGTGCAGAATTTTGTTTAGAAAATGAAACTAAACAAAGATTATGCTTGAATTATTTGCATAATTTTTCAAAAGGGTCTCAGACCGAAAAATGAGACTAAATCACACCTACTTATGAAAAAACTGGATACAGGAAGCACTAAAACAAAATGCCTAAAACTTCATTACCAGTAACAGATGCCACACCAAAACAAAATGAAGGACATTAGAGGAGAAAAAATTTTACAACTCGACTCTTTTTGTTCACAACATTAGACAAGGAATGTGGAGGGTATCACTTCCACATGTTCTTACCTAACCAATATTTCATCAGTAAATCTCAATACTCGTGAATGAAAGAATTCGTGATGAAGCGGAATGTCCTGTCTAGTCACTGAGTTGGTCTTAGTATATGCAGGCAGAATTGAGCTCCACAAATTAAAATGTCAAAAAGTAAGATAAAACAAATTACCAAAATTAAAATCAACAAATAAAACAACAAAATGACAAACACAGCTAGAACTCTGATATTTGAGTCGGTAGACTCCATTTAAAGAAATATTATACAATTAGTAAGTTTTATAATGAAAATTATTTGAGCTATCAATTTAATGTTTCTTTTTATATAGTTAATTTGAAAAGGAGATGTTTTTGCTTTATTAGACTGTAAATTTTCTCTTTTTAGTAAGTAAGGGATGAAGGATTCATTTACAACTTGGACTCACTGTTATGACTCTTACCTGTAAAGATTCCAGTGAGAACCGTTCTGTAATAAAGGCATCTTGGGTGGTAATGTTTTATAGTGCCTAACAAGATGTCTGGAACATGGCAACACAAACATGCAGGAAACATAAAAATATACATGAAGCATTTTCACTAGGACATTCAGAAAGAGAAAGGCCTATAATACTACATGGATGAATCTTCTTTTTCTTAGAAGAACTACAATGATTATTTGAAGGCATGATTAAAATTGTTAAAATATAAAATTAGTAAAGACACCTGACTTCAAAATTAAGTATAAATATTCAAAATTATAATTTAACTGCTCTAATTTTAAAAAGCACCTGCTAAACAAACATATGAATTATTATTATCCAATATTTAAATGTACTATCTAACCTGTGATATAACATTATGCCTATTTCTATAGAAGTAAATAACTCACAGCTAAAATATAAATCAAATCGTTTAAGTAACTGGGGAGTTAAATATGATTGAAGGAGTTAGGCTAAAAACGAACAGTTGACTAATATTATAGGAACTAGGTTGGTCATGGCACTTGACTGCCATAAAGAAGGGAAAGAACAGAAGGTCAAGGACTGAATATAGGAGAGGAAGTTTTTTTCTGTTTATCAGTTTCTGGATCCAAACCCAATGATACCCAAAACCTGCCACTGGAAATTGGGTTAGATGGATAGCAGATACAATCCAGAGTATGAATGCCGAACTGGCAGAAACAAGGTCCAACTTTACTGGAACTCCTTCAAAATCTGAAAGAACTTCTGGACTGTGAATGCCATAACAGCCAAACCAGGTCCCATCAATTAATTTACTTCTTGATAATTCAAAGATGTTATACAAATTTAATTGTTGATTACTAAAATCATTGTCTATCTCAACTTAGATTAAATTAAGATAAATAGGGAAGGGAATAACATTTACTGAGGACATAGTAAACATTAAGCACCCCATTCATCTACTCATATTTATGCTAATGGTCAAATCATAGGAAGTCCCTCAGATCTTCAGTTTTAAGATGTACCGGAAGTATCATATTGAAGCACAAGTTGAGGATAATTTTTATTGAAACCAAAGATTGTGGGTGTTTCATAGACAAAATTTCTTCTTTTCAACCCCTAATTTGGATAAATATCTTTATAGTCATATAACTTTCCTAACCTATTACTTCAAAAGTGATTTTATTCCAAGAATATTCTAATAGGAAAAAATACAGAATGGGAAAAAGAATGAAAACTACTAGGAAGTACAGTCTGAGGGTCTAAGTTATCACCTTGGCTTTCACCTTGGTAATTCAGGACAAGGCCCTAGAAAATCTTTCTTTCACTGGTGGAATATCCCACAGGACCAATGTCATAATATACTTTTGGAAAAATTAGTTTAGTAGAAAACATCAAATTTACCTGATTTTGAATCCTTGCTCTATTATTTATCAAATTTAATACTTTTTAGTATTTTTCCTCATCTGTGAAACGATGATAATAATATCCATATATTGCCAGGAAATTGAAATAAAGTGCATTAATTGTTCAAGCTGTACTTGGTACTCAATAAATGCTATTTTCCTTGTTTACTGGAAAGTTAACAAATTCTCATATTACATTCTTCAAGGAACTAACTGTTTTTTGTTTGTTTGTTTGTTTTTTGAAAGGTTTTTGCTACAGGGCAAGTGCACTCGCCAGAAAGACAGAGAGAGACAGAGAGACAAAAA